GACCACTCGGCCAAACTGTCCTTGGTCAGCCGCTCCTTCGTATGCAAGGAATGGCGCCGCCCTCCAAATCGATTACCACAGACTTTGGAGGTTTTTGTCGATATCTTCTCGAGACTGTCCATCGACTCGGGTAGGTGCCATAGTCGACCACCGCATGCTTGATGTTGACCATGATGGCTCTCCCGTCTCGTTGAGATTCGGCGCGTAGTGGAAGTCCTTATCGGTTGCAATACTGCCAATCACCTCGTCCTTGGTGGGGCCGGTGGCGACAGTGCCACCATCGTCGGTCTGTGTCTTCATCAGTCCTCGCACTGTTTTCGCACTGTTTGGGCCTTCCTTCAAGAGTGACCCTGAGCTCCTTTGGGCGCTGTCCTTCCCCTCCGGAGAACGATATCTTTCCCAGGTCATCGGCTGGGCTCGAAGACGTCCTTATCGAGGGCGGCGGCATTCTGGGTAGCATCGCTTCCTTTCATCTCGAGTAGGCGATCGGGGAGCCGCTGAACTCGTCGTTCAAGTACTTCCTGAGCATGAACACGCGGCTCTGGTCGAACTTCCTGCTGCCCATTGGGCCGTCTTCTTCAGCAGGAGTTTCTGCCTTGGAGATTCCTCCTTCAAGCGCACGTGAGGGCTCTTTTGCAAGGCCGAACATGTTCTTCTTGCTTCTGACCAGCTGTCCTGGGACCATGTCGGGGAGGCCGGTCTTGGGCAGGTGCATGTAGAGCTCGCGAGTGAGGTAGCTCCCGGTAAGGAAAGCACATCTTATATCGCCAGCGGCCAATGTCCAGGCGTCAGTCCATCTGCTGTGATCTGGAGCAAACAAGTCAAAGCCCGGACAATGCAGGTGCATCTGTAGATAGGTGCATCGCCTCGTTGGTCAAATCCGGATCGGTATGGATCACTGCAGCCAGCAGCTGAACAGTCGAGGCTTCGAGAAGTGGAGGGGACACAGAACTCTTTTGTCGAAAGCAAACTCATACGGAAGCATGCCATTGCCAGTACAATTACATTCAAGTTTCACACTGGTTCTGAAAGCCCCTTCCTCTCCGAGTGAGGGGCAGAAGTAGCTTGCCACACTGTGCTTTCCACCACTCTAATGGGTTTTGTGGCTTGGTCAAAATGTTGCTCCTTTGGAGCGTGCCCGGGATCCATCCGAGGGGAAGGTGGTCGCTCCACTTCTCAGACCGAAGCCCTTGTCTAAGCGCCGCGAGATCAACGGCCAACCTTTTGTCGCTTGGTGCACGTGGTTTACCCTGCCGATTCAAGTGATCATAAAAGGAACGACAGTCGCTCAGACAAAGAATTGGGAGTCGAGCTTTGTCCACATCGGTCATGTAGCCGTTGATCACCGTCTCATACATGGAGCGGGTTTGGGCAGTTTCCAGAGTTTCCGCACCGAATGTGCTTCGGCAGATCCTTTGTCTCGCTCGTGACCGCCAGTCGGCTTGCTCCATCCTAGCTGTCCTGAAAGGGTGCCGCTGAGCATCCCTACTGGAGTCGATGATAATGATCAGCGACAACTTGATCGGAGCGCTTTCTTGAATGAGCGCACAGACGCGAGCTGACTTGACCTCCTCAGTCAGCATGGCCCAGCAATTACAGAAGGCCCCGACCTACGGCGACCTCAAGTTCACCAACAGCATCACGGCCAAGGCGTACCAGTTCAGGGATGAGGGACTCGAGTTCAGGACTATCCCAAGGGGAAGGCTGATGATAGCAGTCTTCCACGACACGGCATGGGCCAATGTTCCGGATCCTGATCCAGAAGAAGATTGGTTTGTCCTCTCTCCCGAAGAGGACAAGGCAGGCCTGCAGGTGGGGCAACAAGGCGGGCAAAGAAAGGCAACCCCAAAGTGCTTCTCAAGTCGGCGTGCTGGTTACCTTCACCGACCGGGTGAAGAGCCTCGTCTCGGCATACTTAGCCTGATCCATCCTCACCGTTTCTCCGGACAGTGATCTCAGAGCCCAGGAACTCAAACTCGCCAACTTCCCAGGTTTCGATCGGGAAGATGCTCGATAATGCCTGTTGGATTCTGGGCTGCATTTTGCCCGATGTGGCAATGAGCAGAGAACTCCGCAGATACGGATTACGCTCACATTGCTCAACATTCATTCTTTGATTGCAGCTGCTAAGACAAATCCAAAGCCAAGCCCAAAGAATTGGACAAACCCAAGAAGCGTGCGGATTACAAGAACTGTGAATGAAGGCTGGAGACACCGGGATTCGAAACAATGGGTTGGGCGGGTGGAAGACAACGGAACATCGCCTTGGCTTTGGCCTGCGATTTAGCTTGCGACAATCGAAAGCGAGCCTTCTGCAATGTCACCGTGGGTGGTTCCTGAAACTTCTCAGCTGCTTTCTTGGCCTTCACCAATGCTTGACCCGTCAATGGCGTGAGCAAAAAAGCAGTCCTACCGCGCCAAGGAGCAATGTTCGACTTAGATGATGTATCAATTCTGTCATCAACAATGACATCTGATGTGCCATCGACAAAAACCTTTCCGTCTGCCTACATGGCCTGTCAATCGTTTTGTCTTGCATCAACCGGCAATTCACCTCGAAGGTACCTGAAACCCATGAGGTTTTGCCGTTGTTTGACGCGATGACGAATCAATACACACGTAACTTGAGGAACCGAGATGCAGATTGAACCCCCTCAGAAACTCGATCGTCGACACATGGAAAAGGTTATCATGAACCAATTGCGGTCGACTCCAACACATTGGATTCGCATGGTTCATCAGGAGCGTGATGATCTCATTCATCCTGACAAGTGCCCCTCACCATTGTTGTCATCAGATGCTCTTGCGTTTGGTGACACATTGGTAGACACACTTGTGTTGGAGATGGATGATCTTTGGTGCAACTACACTGACGGAAGAGGTATTGAGAAAGCCCCTGAGATTGACCTGACCCTGAGCGCAAGCTAGGATATCTATGGTGTGGCTTCTCGGAATTTCAGATTGCCAGTCCGATTGAAANNTCCAGAGACTGTAGACATTGCAGCCAGGGCACCCCGAGGATTGCGAGTGTCGATTGAACCGACAGCGTCGGAACGGCATCAACACAAGGCTCTGTAGGACAGAGATGCAACGCAGATTCTACGGACAATTGCGTGTTTACCAGATTGAAGAAAATGCTGGCATTGAAGTCAACTCCGATTCGTCCACGTGGCCCCCCGAACATCACAATAGACGACGAGCACTACCAATACAACACTAGTATTACTACCACCAGTACCACCAGTACGAGTAACACTACTTATGCAAGTGGTACTGCTGGCTGCTCACTGTTTGCAGGTGTCTTCTTAACAGTTGAGCTGATTGATGCAAACCCTCCACCTGAACGAACTTCTCCATGGTGCTGTAACGGTTAGCGGTTCCTCCCGTTTGATAGCAAGCCACAGCAAGCCACTGGTTGGTACGAAGGTGAAGTCTGCAGCTTGGCAAAGGCAGGAGAGCTTCTGCTGAGCCCTTTGGAGCAGGCTGTGTCGAAGGAAGGTCTGGATGATCGCGCCCCTTGCCTTTTAGAGGCTCAGCCTCGTGTGTGTTGCAGACGGATTTCGATGATGGCCATCGACCCTTTGCAGGCCCGTTCGTGGTGAGCGAAACGGAAATCGGGTACATCATGAGCCCACGTGTCAGCTGGCACGGCGGAAGCGGGTTACGGCTACAGTTGCGCCACTGCTGCCAACACCACCAGCAGCAGTCAATCCTGACCCAAGGACTGTTGGTGATGTGGTGCTGGTGGGTGACGCCACTAGTCTGTAGCTTTTGATGATGGTCAGTGGTTTAAACAGTGTTGTTTTCCGAACTGTGGTGTCAGAACTCGCGTGTATTTGCTCACAAGACACTAAGCCTGCTGTGATGCTGCCATGATTGGCAATGATTTCGGAGTTTGTGAGGGCAGCTCTTTTGAAAGTTGCCTTGGCTAAAGATTCGGAATTACTTTTGGGACAAAAACCGACCCTAATAGTCAAGAGATTAGCATTTGCTCCCTTGGCCTTTCCCTTCACCGTACATGCGAAGCAACGATGGCCAAACCGCGGCTCGGCGGCAGGTAAGAAGGCCACCCATCTGTCACTGCCTTCGCACCACAAGCTTGTTGCTAGGACAATGGCCCAAATATCGAAGTCCCGGAAGACGGCCCAGCAAGGAAAACGCCTGTGAGTTGTTGTTGCGCAACAGTCTGTTGAACAGCACAGTCTGTCCTGAGGCGTTGGCCAAACGAGCCAAGTGAACACCCACCTGACAGCAAGGTCTCAACGCCAGGCCGTCTAAGAGCACTTCAGAAAACGGTGTCATAACTCACCAGATTGCAGAAAGCTTGACAGAGCGGCATGTAATGAGCTTTACAAGTTCTTGGGAACATCTCAAGGGCAGGCCTCCACAAGTGTGAGTCCGTCAGCAGGTGGGCCGCCCAGAAGCTCTTCCAAAGCCTGAGTCTTTCGCATGTGACGCATCCAAATTATCACGATCAAACTGAGACCTCGGCACCGTGACGGGTCAGAAGGAAATCACTTCGTGGTGCCAAGATATGTGCAAAGTTACCTCTGTCGCGATTTCAGCCGCAACTCCTTCCAAACCCAGAAACCCAGAAGTTGTCCAAGTCTGCGGCCCAAGCCAAAATCCACCACAGAGAGCATCCTGGAAACGAACTTGTTTTCAAAATAGGGTCTCAATTTCTTTCGACCAAAATTAAGGCTGCAGCATGTTGCTTCGCCTCGGTTACGTCCAATGCAAACAGAGACCCAAGTTGTTCCAGGCTCCAGGCCAAAACAACACCCGCCGTCGTTCTCCAATGTGCTGCGCCAGCCGGAGCAGCGAAGCTGTGATCAGGGCTTGGCGAGTATTACATGGCTGCCCAAGCACTTCTGTGGCCTGCCAATTCGAGGGGAGCCTGTACCCACCTGGCAAGTGCCTCAAAGGGTACAATCAATCAGCTCAGTTGGGGTTACTTTGCGCGGGCTTTCTGCATCGCACAGCCTTTTTTTTATGGGACCTCCTTCCCTTGAGGATCAGCCTTCCTCGTCCATCTTATAGCAGCTTGGTTGACACGGCTGTTAAGGTCGACAGACTTGTTGATCAAGTGCAACACGGTTCTGCGACGCCTCCGTGGTCCAAAGTCGCCGGACAAGGTTGGTCATGAGCTCGGACTGCATTGATTCATGGTGTTAGCCAGGCACTGCACACACCAACTGCGCATGCCAATAAACTCCAAGTGGCACACCAAGTTGCGCAGCTAGACAAAAACCGCCCGTCAGCTTGAAACAACTTCCCTCTCACTTGTGTCTCTGTCAACATACCTCCTCCAAGACGTAGCGTCGTACAGTGCTGGCCACTTCCTGGGGCAAGTGCATGCCTTAGGTCGGACACCCTCAGGCAAGCAATCACAGACGCTTCGAGGCAACACTTACATGTTCAGGGAATAAGACTGCGACTGGGTGACATTTCGTGCATTTTCACCTGCCGCAATGCAACAAAGGCCGCCAAAAGCATGTTGTCATGTTCAGTTTGCTCAGAGACTTCTTCTCTGCTCTAAAGTTTTCGGAAGCGGCAAAATGCATCGGAGTACAAAGCAGGGTGGCCTTGAAGTCTCCCCAGATGCTGCGCACTCTCTCCAGGGTGCCCAGGGGCTCGCACTGGCCGGATTCAAGGAAACATGTAGATTTAGAGTCCATGTAGAGAAAACCTGGCAGTCTGCGAGTGAAGCCCACCTCTGAGCCAAGCTGGCAAACAGCCTGCAGGCCTGGCATCAGACTTTGCAGAGTGTTTAGTGCGCTGCTGTAGCTTGTGTTGTTGTCATTGTGCTGTAACAGGCGCTCGACCACATGTCTTCTTGAGAAGCCGAACATGCCTCCGCAAAACAGGTTGGTTTGGCTAGCGGCGAGGGCAAAGATTTTGAAGCCAAAGGCCTGGGGCGAAAATGCACTGATGTCCTCAAACCTCCCTTGCCGAGTGGCTGGTGCGTTAGAGCTAAATTGAGCCTGACGGACTTGATTTTTCGTGCAACGCCGAAAGAGCCTCTCGATTCAAGCTGTTTGGGATGTTGATTTCGCGCTGTGCCTGCTGGACTGTGCAACGCAAAGTGCCTGAGCCCGAAGCGGCTGGATATGCACAGGTAGCCTTGATTCATGGAGACTGGAAGTACAACATCTGCCCGGCAAGTAGGATGATTGGACTTCCGGTTCGTTGGTTGACTCTCGCGGACAGTGTGTGCTGCGCAACGTCAATGAGCACACGACCACTGCTGGGTTGCCACCCCCTGCCCACTTGTTCAGGTCGATGCGGGCCTGCTGCGGCGAAAACTTCAGCTTGACGTCAGCATCTGTTCTGAAACATGAAGGCTCAGTCGTGGCCACTGTCGATCCTCCATAACTGCAGGCCGTTGTAAGTGCCAACAAAGCCGCGCACAACTGGACAAACAAATACGACTGTGACAAATGTTGGAAGCGCACGGTCTTGCTGCCTGGCGATGATTACTATGCAAGTCCTTCCTTGGCATTAGAGCACATAAACAGGATCATGCGTGAAACGACGCCACAACCAAACAGGCTTCTGCACAAGCAATCGCTCAGCCAGGACATGGCCTATGAACGTTTCCCGTCTTGTCTGCAGCAAGATTATGAGGGTGCGGCAGACCGCAAGCATTCGGAGTCCGTTTCAATCAGAAGGAGCACCTTGCTGTGATTGGACAAGCTCTAACAACTGTTGTGGTGCGATCTTATCAATTCACAGAGCTGTATCGTCGGGGCTCGTGGCACCAGGACTATGCCTACTGGGGCATGTTGCCAGGGCAGTTATGAGGATCATGTGATGATGCGCATATTGCTCCGCTGCGTTGCTACTAGTGCAGACGACATCCACACCCAGGCAGCAACCTCCTCCACTTCTGGTTTCAGGCTTCCGCGAGGAGGCCCGCACAGCGCTGTGGCGGGCCTTCAGCAGGATAATATCTGTTGCAAGTTGGCAGCCGCATCGCTGCAGGTCTTTGCTGAAATCGTTTCCGGGCAAAGCCCCAAAGGCTCAAGTCAAGTGCCTCTGCTGGCCACACGTAGGCAAAGCTAGCCTCGGTGATGGAATGCAATTTTCTGTTGAGTTGGAACTTCTCACTGGTTGATGCTTTGCTGAAGTCGGCTGGGTTTGCTTGAGTGCATGGCTCATATTCGAACTCACCCTGGCTGCGGGTAGCGCACAAAGCCTCATCTGTTTGGAAGCGGCTTCTTTACATATCAGCGGCTGCTTCGTGAAACATTCAAGCTTAAGTGCCTCATCTCAGTCTACAATTTAGCCTCTGCATGCAGCACCCCACTGAGAAGCACTCACAGCACACAGCTTGTGGCCATGAGGCAAGTAGTGTCCATAACGCTCTCATGCCATGCTGCAATCGCGCGGAGGAATGTAACGAATCAGGGGTTGTGAGGATTGGTTCACTACAACACATCCAAAAGAGCACAAAAAACAAGTGTCGGGCTCCTGCGATCTGTAATCATGGTAGGATGACACTTCATTGCTTGGCTGAAGTGCGACCCCATTCCTCAAGCCGTATAGCCGTATATTCTACGTGACCTTAAAGCGTGTCTCTCTGCTGTGCGCTTCAGTTCCTGGAGATGATCCAAAGCACTGAGAGTCATTTGAAGACGCCAAGCTCGAGCAACAGCTTCCGGAGAGCTCCACTTAGTCAAAGGCATTCTCGAAAGATCTCCGGTGCCAGATTGGGGCAGTGCAATTCGGTAGCGGTTTGCCTGCGCGTAGCGCTGCTGTGATGCAATGCCCGTTTCACTGGGCAATTTTTTTTGCAGTTCGTACAGGGTACACGGTGTTTCGGGTGAAACTTGCAGGTTTGTCCTGCAGAGAAGCTTTGCTCTCGTCATGCTTTTGCTCTCCGACGATTTCGCACATCCTCTGTAACTGAGGTCAAACTACGTACTTTGGATGCTAGTTGTTACCCATCTAGAATCTAGTAGTTCCGCAACTAGCACGGCTCAGTGGGAGTGAGCGTTTTCATCACTCCCGCACCGAGCTGCGAAGAGGTGCTGGCGTACCCGGCTTGACGACCTGCTGCAGGCAGCCACCAGTGCTTCGCAAAACAGTGCTTAACAAGCATCTTACACTTGATGAGCAGCCCATTTCGCGACACGAGCAACGGAAGCGCTTCCAGAGTGTTGGTCCCGCTGTCTAGGGCGAAGCAACCATCCCGAGCTGTAAGATGTTTTACAGAATAGGCTCAGAGTGACAGTTAAAGGCACGAGGCCTGACTGCTGCGGAACCTGGCTTCCATCCTCGGTATCGCAGTGGTGCTTCGTGGTGCAGCGGCCCTAGGTGCTTTTTTGTCCCCGCAGTGCATCCCTCGGCCGTGGTTGCATAGGAAACATTTCTGTTCGAGGAGGAAGCCTTGAGTTGCTGCAGGCCACTGAGGCGACAGATGGAACTGACCCACCTTGACGCCTTGGACCGGCTTTCACTCAACTTCGCTTCGGAGCTCCAGGTACCCAAAGCCGCACCCAGCCCGGAACATCTTCAACGAAAAGCACTGTGGCCGTAACTGTCCATCTTGACTGTCAAGGGTCTTTCCAATGCGCTCGGTCAGTGCCTTCTTGTCTGCGTCTGAAGGAGGATTCCTCGGGCGAGAGTTGGGGACTAGCTAAGTGTTATGGCCATACCATGGGCTTACCCCCTAGTTAGTTGCCAGAGTTCTTTTCATGTGCACTGCCAGCAGCTCGCCCAAGACTGGACATTCAGCACTTCATGCTCTGATGCTCGTGCGTCCAACGCCAATCCTATTGGACAGGTCGAGAAAAGGGCACGCAGGTCGCAGCATTAAGAGACTGGACGAGTGAACCCTTCTGGCCAGCGAGATTCGACAGAGGATGAAAGCAACAAACGCGGCTGCAAATCTCATAACGACTTTGACTGCTGTACTTGCTGTTGGCCGCTTCCTGTCTCCTTTGCTCGTTGCCTTGACATCTGTGGATTTCGTGGCTGAAGTGTGTATCGCCACCGTCAACGGAAGACTCAATGTAGCAACAGGGTGTCCAGACCAGCGACCTCCCTGAGAAAGCTGCGATTGGAACACGAAACATCACAACTGCGATGTCGTCCACAAAGCCCTACTGCACTATGCAACTGTAGGAGCGGTTCCGAAGGACATTCCTCGACACGTCTCCTGTGACTTTTGACATCTCAAGCTCGCGAAGCCCAGCAGCATTGGTTTGCCTGCTTCGCTCAGGTTCTTCCTCCATGGCCCTCTTGCAGATCTGTGTCAACCAAAACATTCAACCAAGGAGCTTTCCCTCATTCTCCCACTGCTTCTGCCACGACCTTCCATCAACGGCAAGTCCAGGCACCAAAGGAGCTTGAAGCCAGGGTTTGGGAGTCTCAGGGAACTGCAACAGTTCGGATGTCGGTTGGTCGAAAACGACAGCTTTCTGTAGCCAGCATCGGACCGTGGTTCTGAAGCATGAGTGAAAGTCAGCTGCAGCGGGGCAGCCTGGCATTCATCAGCATCTGCACTGCAAGATGCTCCGTCTGAGGCAGGATGCGCCTCGTCAACATCTTCAGATGCACAGACAGGGCAGAACGCTTCAATGGGTGAAGTGCCTGGCACTTGGAAAACGTGTTCTGCCGCTGCACACTTGTATGTGGCTGTGAGTCAAGTGACATCGCTGCGAAGATGAGCGGCGAAACCAGAAACTCGATGAAGCCGACCTGGTGATCTACGCGCCGAGGTGGATCAATGTCATGTCATCAAGCACAAACTATCCCTTTCGTTTGGCGGTGTGGCTATCTAAAAGTTTCTTGTTGCCTCCTTGTTGTACGATGGACACGAATGGCATGGCTGTGTCAGCGCCGGCATGGCAGCGGCAGTGCCAACTGAAACTCAGGCCACACGCGAAAGCTTTAACTGCCCTGTAAATTTCCGAGTCGCACCTGCGAGAAAGGCCGGTTCACCGTTGCCCGATCATTCAAAGCCTGGACAGGCCTTGGGCAAAAGATGCTTCAACAGTTGTTCTTTTTGACCTGACAGGCAACTTCTGGCTGTGATTAGCCGAGCTGGCTCAACCTGTGGACTCGGCCCTGGAAAATCCACTGAACTACGCAACACCTGCGAAACGTCAGCCTGTAACACAGTCGCCTCACAGGGCGCTGTTCTGATCACACACCTTGGCTGCGCCAAGGGGCACTCCGAGCCGTGCTTCAGCATCGCCTTGCAGAAAGAACCTGAGCTTGCAAAGCAAAAGAGCATCTCCGAAATAAACAGAACAACTGCGCACAAGCAAGCACACATGTACACAAGCAGATGCATAGAAGCCTTTGCATATAAACGAACTAACACATACTTGAAGTGAATGCATGTATGCCGGCTTCATGCATACATGCATACATAGTTACCACATATATACAAAGTCACATTTTGGCTCCAGTTGCCGCAAGCCGCAAGCTGTAGGTGCTTGTTTTCCGTTGCTACCTGTATTCATGTGCCTCCGCACGCAAGCATGTCTGCCGGATGAACGACCTGTCCATGGCTTTGCAAATCTCACATCTTGATCAAGTGTTTGCTGGTTTAACTCACCAAAGCTCCTTGGCACCACAGCCAATTCCTATGCAAGCGTCCTCAATTTGTGTTGCAACATGCGGACTTTGCTAATGATTGTCTCGCGTTGTTCTTAAGCAACAGTCTGAGCAAGGAGGCCGACGCAAGTACCGGGAAAGGCATCGCACACATTTAATCTTTTTGACATCCCAGGCACTCCTCCAGCACCTGCCATGCCCAGATCCTGCTGATTCCTGGGAGGCAAGCAGCACGCAGGTCTGCGTGGAGCACGGGCTACAATCAGGAAGTGTTCACGTTTGTGTCATGTGAATATACATTGTGTGTATATATATATATGTGTGTGTGTGTATCTGTATATACACACACACACACACAAAACCAGAGCTGTTCAAGTCTTCAGCCTCAGTCGTCGACACTGCAGATTTGCATGAAGTCACGCCTGGCGTTCGTGGTGCTGACGTGTATGTTTTCGAGGCCTGCTCACAAGCAGCAATGAGAGTCTTCAAGAGGTTTCGGAGGCAATCAGGATCCATCAGGGGTTCAAGGACAGAGATTCCAGCTGGAGCTCTAGAGTTTGGATGAGTGTCGGAACGGCTTCATGGAGTTCGAGATGTCGGCGAAGTGCAGCAGGAGATTGATCATCCTTGGAAACAATCAGCAGCAAAATTGGTAGTTTTCGGATTCTTCCCGGTGCTGTATGCTACTGGTCCTAAGAGGTTTGAGGAGCATGATCCGTGGGGG